CCGCCTCCTCCTCTCCATTAGCCAGCCTCTGGCTCCGCCTCCTCCTCCCCACCAGCCAGCCCCTGGCTCCGCCTCCTCCTCTCCATTAGCCAGCCCCTGGCTCCGCCTCCTCTTCCCCACCAGCAAGCCCCTGGCTCTGCCTCCTCTTCCCCACCAGCCAGCCCTTGGCTCTGCCTTCTCTTCCCCACCAAGCTCACCTTAACCACACCGATCAGCAGGCTCAGGCTGATGATAAAAAGCATGATGATGAGCAGGAAGCTGGAAAGCAGGTCAGCTGAAAGACAAGAGAGAAAGCAGTGAGGGGCCCGGAAGTGCCCCTGGACACCCCACAGGGCTCCAAGGACCACCCTTTAAGAACAACTGGTGTTAAGAGGCGTAAGAGTAAGCAAGAGCCCAGGTCTGCGCTCTGGGAGGTCTCAGTTTTGGAAGGATACAAAGACAATGAAGGGAATATCTCAGGTCACAGTCAATGTTGTAAAAAAAAACCCCAAAAACAACAACAACAACAAAAAACAACAGGTGATACAAGAGGGCCCCTGAGAGGGAGAGTAGGGGGGTCAGCAAAAACTTCTCTTAAAGCGGAGACATGCTGAGTGACAAGGAATAGTTCACTGAGCATGGAGCCAACTTGGTGTATGAATGCAGGGACATGGCTGTCAGGAGTACTGATGCTACCCCAGAGTGATGGGCAGCCATTGAGGGGTTTGAGGGATTTAAGCAGGGGCGTTCTATTATCTGTTACCAGCTAGCTGGCTGGAATTGCAAAGTGCCATCCCATACATCTGCTCTGTGACCTTGGGATTTGGGTGGGAACAACTAGAATATTCCAGTTTAGCAGGCTGCCTGCCTGGACCAGGGCTTCCTACCCCACTCCTTGTAGCCCTTCTCCCCGCACCCGCATGGCCTCCCTTGCACCTACCGATCTTGAGGTAGCCTATCTTCGAGAACTTGCAGGAGGCCTTGCCTTGAGCCACCTCCACCGAGTGCTCGATGAGCAACAAGATACTCATGATCTGGGGAAGAACAGAGTGTTCATTGATCAGCAGTGCAGCTCTCACTCCCTCTCCTGTGCTGATGCTGTGCCCGATCAGGGGCTGGAGGGGGGCTTCTGGGAAGATGGGATGCCAAGGAGGTTTGGCCTTCACTGAACTCCACCTCTGTGTCGGAGATGTGAATGTGCCCCACCTTAAAACCTACAATTACTTCCAATTCTGAGGTTCAAATCTCCAGCATTTGCAGGAAACAGCCGAGCACTTAATCACTGTGCCACCAGAGCTCCTCTTCCCCATTTATTAAATGATACTAATGACTATGCTAGGCGGCTCCCTTGAGGACTAGGTGAGACCGTCCAAGATAACACTTAGAACTCCCCACGGTTTCTCATAAGTGGTAACTGTTACTACTGAAGGTCAAGTCTGTGGAGGTGGTGGGAGAGGGTAGAGGCTGAGGGCTCTTGCCAGTGATGGGGACCCTCCTCTGCAGACCCTTTTATAACAGGCTCTGTACAGCATGAAACCTTAGGTCACAGCATCCAAGTATCATAGAGCTTCAAGCTGGGTGTTTTTTGTTCCTTTTTTAAAAATTTTTTTACTAGTTTATTTACAAAATTTACAAATACATTGTTATCAAGAACAAATGCTTTCAATATCCTTCATCCCCTGAGCTTCAAGTTCTTGAGATTATCTCATACAAGGCTGAGATCCTACCTTCTGGACCACAGACCTGGGAGGGTTCTGCAGATGATCCGAGCCCTGAGCCCCTAGGATGCCTGTCAACTGCATCTTAATATTCACAGGGGAGATACTGCTAAAACCTCCCTCACTGGCTGTATGGGGCCAGATGGGATGATTCACTTAAAGCACCTGGGAGATAATAAGTGCTCACTGTCACTGAGTTGATTCCAACTCACAGTGAGCTCACAGGACAGAAAACCTCCCCAAGGGTTACCAATGTCGTACACCTTTATGAAATCAGACTGCCACTTCACACTCCCACAGAGCAGTTAGTGGGTTTGAACCACCAACATTTATAGTCAAGTGCTTGACCAAGTTGCTACACAGTCTCCCCAAAACCTACTAGTTGTTGCTTTTACTATACTAGCATCCCCCCTGCTGGAGTGGAGCCACCAGGCAGATACAGCTACTGTACGTCTTGTTCATTGTTCATGCTTTTGTGCCTTTTGAATGAGTGCATCAACGAGTGAATGAATGACATTCCCTCAGAGGGCCTTTGCTAAGAATGATGGAGAAAGGACGAAGCTCATGGGTCTGGGTGTCAGGAGCAGCCCTATTAATACCTGAAATTCAGCCATTAAACCATAGTGCCTAAATGGTCTTCAATGTCACCTTGTCGATTACCTCTACCATTTACTGCAGGAAGAATATCTGTCAGCAGCCTTATAAATGCAAAGCAATTTCTGCTTAAATATTTCTAGCCACGGGAGCTCACAATCTTCTGTGTGTTCACATCCTTTCTTCAGCACAAATTCCATTCTTACCCCCAACATACACACACTCTCTCTCCTCTCTCTTTCTCCCTCTCTCTCTCACACACACACACACAGAGAGAGAGAGAGAGAGAGAGAGATCATACATACACACACACCTGCCACCGTCTGTTCACATTACAAGACTGTCACCTCCCTTGCAGCGGGCACCTACCTCTATTAACATAACCAAAGTTTTCACTGGCTTTGCAAGTGGCCTGCTGCTGCTAACTCAAGCTCAGCTGACCAGGGATAAGATGCCTGCCATCTGTCTCCCCTGTGTGGTCTCTGAGCTCAGATACAGATCTCAGCTTGTCTCCCTGACACGCTATCTTCTTTTCAAGGCAGGGCTGGGGAACCACACAGAAGAATGACTAAGAGTCATACTCTGGAGGAAGGAAGAAATGGGTTTGAACCTAAGTAGACCTCCACACTCACTTTGAGAGCTTGGGCAAGTTACTTCACCCCTCTGAGCCCACATTTTTTTCATCTGGAAAATAATAGTCATTATAAGTAAACAGAAGAAGAATTGATGCCTCTGAACTGTGGTATTGGAGAGGAGTACTGAATATACCATGGACGGCCAAAAGAATAAACAGATATATCTTGGAGAAGGTGCAGCCAGAGTGCTCCTTGGAAGCAAGGAGGAGAAACTTCATCTCATATATTTTGGGCATGTTGCTAAAAGGGGGTATTCCTCGGAGAGGGACATCATACTTAGCAAAAGAGAAGAAGACCCTTAACCTGTAGCAATAGGCTCAAGTCTGTCAGAGATGATGAGGATGTATTTGATGAGACAGCATCTGACAAAACAACAACAAATATAGTGAGAAATTAATTGCTTTGTGTTTGTTAAGTCCCAGGCTGCTGGCCAGCAGAGAAGGGGTCCAGCATGCTAAATTGACCTGGGGTGGTTGAGCTGTATCAAGAGCAGGGTGCCAAGGACTGACAGACAAGCCTTCTCTGGCTGCACCCTCCATCTGGTGTGGGGTGAACCTGAATATTTCACCAGGAAGAGAAAGAGCGGCCCAGGATTGAAGGCTGAGGCTGGCATCCACAGGAAGCAGCCCAGACATAGAAAAGCTGCTTCTTCAGCTCCTGATGTGGGCAGTTCCAGCACCTATTCTCCGGGGGGGGG